GCGGGCAGGCCCCCTGGCTCGCTGCCTGCCAATCAGCCCGGCCGCCTCGGGTGGGCAGGGCAGATGAAAAAATGTGCAGGTTACTTTCGCCTCTGGCACACCCAGAGAAGGAGGAAGTGGGAGACAAGCGGTGAGCAACAGCCCGAATGGGTGGGAAACTTCGTGTTAAACCCTGCCGAACAAAAACCGAAGCTTTTCCTTTCATAGAAAAAATACCTTTTCTGGAACCCCCCCCCCACCACCAAAACAAAAAAAAAACTCAACCCCAAAATCAAAAAACTTTTCAGCTGATCACCTTGCAAGAAACCCAGCAGCCTACTCCCTGTGCCAGCAACTGAATCACTTTCTGCAGTTAACCCTTCAGATGCCAGCTGGGTTTAGGGATAGATCTTTTTCACCCCCTCTTAGCTGAACTGCTTTGGATTTATACCTGACCAGGTAAATATAGAGATAACTTTGAAATGCAAAGTACTTACCACATTTTAAAGAACTTTTAGTATTTTTTTTAATCTATACTTCTGCAGCTCCTTGGAAATATTTTCCTACATCTCTTTCAAATTCAAGAACAGAAATTAGAAGACGGTTTGTGATCATCAAAAGTATGTGTGATGCTAATGCAGTCTTAGAGAAGGACTGTCAAGGGAATAAAAATCCTGTTTTTTAATTAATCTTAATTTTTGACAGGGATAACAGGATGTGTCCATTTGTGATAGCAAGGGATTAGACTTCACAGACCAGGAAGTTCATCCCAGTTCTTCCCATAAACAACAAATGAAAGAAGGAAATATAGCCTATATATCCAACAGTCAGATTCACCAAAACAGAGTGCCCTATATACAAAACATACCTCTAGATCTTCTCAAATCTTCCAATCTAGCTTACCCCTGCCCCTGCCTTTCCCCCCTGCCCAGCAGTTGGGGAAACGGCTCAAAACCACAGGGACAAGCTGTCAGTGCCGCTGAGGAACCGCCAGCATCCTTCCACTCCATTGTGACATTTTTAGGGTTACTCAGATTTTTCTCATTTTCCCTTGGCGGTTACTATGGAGAAACAAAATGTATTTGGGGTTTTGACACAGTAAGGAAAACAAACAGATTTGAAGGCAAGGTCATCTGGATAATGTGGAAATCCTGCCAGAAAGTATCTGGCTTACATATAACTCACCGATTTGACATTTAACCATTACAATAAATCAGTACAGAAATTATTTGAAGTACACTCAATTACCTGCAGAAGGTACATGGTTTTATGGGATGAGCAATGGAGCATGACAGTGTGCAGAATCAACAAGGAAAGACCAGGCTATGATTCCCAAGCTATGAGGGCTTGGTCTAATGGCAAAAGTGAATTAAATGATGAAAGGGGAATTAGATTAAGGCATGATTAGGTGATCAGGTACCATAGGGACAAGCGTGTTATAAAAAAGTATTTCAGGTGGCAGAGACAGAGAACAGCATGCAGCAAAGCTGATGCCTTCAGCCGAGGGGCAGATCACTGCTTCCAGTGCAGGCAGATGGGGGGCAGAGTCACTTTTTGATGCCGCTCCCCAGGGAGAAACACCTGCTGTATGAAGAGTGACCGGCTAACGCCCTCCCCAGCCTGCACTAGCCCCTCCATCTAGGCCTTTGAAAACTTCAGCCTATGCTACTCATCCTAAATTAATCAGTTAATGGCAGAGCTGGAAGGTTAGTTTTCTAATGCCCCCAAGTCTGCCTCCCAACCATGGCACTATCCTTTATGCAAGACTATCACTGCTCACTTCCCTCCTGCACCCTGTTGCAATAGCTTTACAGAGCAAACAGGGTTTTCTCTATCACCACTAAGAAAAGGCACCTTCTGTTTCACAAAGGCTAAAAATTCCCTGGCTTGTAGCAAGTTGAGGAACAAGATGGAAAATTAGCCCAAGGACAAACTGCTTAAGCAGAAACTGTTAAAGGTGTGGGGCTTAAACAAATACCCTGACTAGAAAAAAATGAACATTCCAACCTGTTCTCGTGACTTTCCAAGTGAACAAAGATCCTTTACTCACTTTTATCCTTCCTCTCCTTAGCCTGGGAAGAAGACCTTTACGTAGATAATTTTCTCTGCTGTTCTGTCTGCTGCCTCTGTCTTTCTATGTGAAACTGCAAAGAAAGAAAGACAACCAGGGGGATGAAGTCATCTTCCCCTGGTCTCGCTCTTTTGTTTCCTGTTCCCAATTAAAGTCCATAATTAATCTGGCCACCAAGACACAGCACTGCATGGGGCACTGGGATGTCATGGACGTACCAAAAGCAAACTTGTTTCTCAGGAAATAGGGTTTTTTCTTCACATGGTGTTAGTCCCTTGACCCCTGGTCTGTTACAAAATTTTAAAATGTGCACAGAATTTACCATAATTAAAGTAGGAATAGAATCAGATTCATGGAAAGAAAATTCTGCTTCACAAAAAATAGATGCATTAAAAGACTGTTGTTATCTCTTAGCTGAAAAACCCCAGGACTCTCAACAGCCTTTGTGGAAAATAAGGATAAATCCACTCCAAAATGCCCGTTAGGCTGGTGGCTTTCCCTTTGGTTGAGGGAAACCTAGGTGTGACTCTGTATTCTTGTTTACATAGGGATTCTTGTTTACACAGAGCAGAAACTTGAGCTCCTTGTCCTTCATCCTAGAGAAGGACCCCAGCCACCACACTACGGCCCATTCTGGGGCCGTTTTTTCAAAACTCCACCACGCACCTCTATGGAAGTTCTGCCAAACCCAGTACAGCTGTGAAACTTTCTGTGAACAGATGTTTTCTAACAACCGCCAGCAGGAAAACTAAAAACAGCTGATAAATATTGGGCATCTAGTCTACTCCGTCCAAGACAACATAAGATTAGCTTTTTGATGTCTCCCATTTCTGTGTTAGATATTGCTGTAAATAACTAATCAGTGGAATTTTTATTTTTACTGCTAGGGACCTATCTGACAGTCTAATGGATCTCACTGCAGGAACAAATCACTGAAGAGGCCATAAGCTCTCCAAGCTGCCCATGATCTGCTCTGTTTTTCATCGTAGTTCATCAGGCTTTATTCACATTCATCCTTACAGAAGGTGCATCCTTCTGCACATGGATCAAAGTCTGTTTCAGCTCTTTTTCCTGAGGCACTTAGGGGTATAGATAAGAGATAAGGATTTCCTCTTAAGCACTTGTCACTGCTGGTCTAAGTGTGTTCATCTTGCAGCAGTGGAGAGAGAGAAAGAGACAACAAACCAAATCCATCCTGTAAAATTCACTGAACACAATCCCATGTCAGCCTTGTTTGGTTTCAGTGTTTGTAATTTATCTTGGAACCAATGACTTCTGTACAGGAGCCATCCCATGATCATAAAGGAGCCATCCCATCATCATTCTCCTGGGAGGGAAAGATCATAAGATTAAAACTCTGTGGTCTAGAATGCATTACTGGAGTACCATCCTGGCAATAGAAGATGATGATTTGGGCCAGGACATATTCAAAGCAAAAAACCGCATATGAGGAACAAAGCCTTAAGGAATGAAAGTCATCAAGGTACAATGGGAGGGAAGAGTAACTTGAAGCCAGAGCATCCTCAGCTATATAACACATGGTTCAATGCAGGCTATAGTTAGAGCTAAATATGGCTTCTCATGACGGAAAATATGAATAGCCCAACTCACTAATATCAGGGAGCTCTTTGAGACATGATCTAAGATGAGTTTCTGCTTGTTACATGTTGCCACATGCTTGAGGCACTGTTTTGCCAACAAGGATTTAAGGTCTGTGGGAAGAGCAGAGTATAGAAAAGTTCACAAGCCACAGACCAATGCCCAGGAAGTCCAGCTCTTGTGCTGGGAACTCTCACAGACACCTCCTTCGTTCTCCAGGACGTCCTAACTGAGGCTGTCATCCTAATCCCTGTCATGCTTCCTGTGCTTAGAATGGATCCCTTCAGATACGTCTCTCTTACCGCATGTAATCAAGCCTTTCTCTGACTCTTAGTTGCAGACTGGAGCTCTCTCCCCCTTAAAGATGAGGCTGGCTGAGGAGAGTCCAAAACCACTCTTTTCCTTACAAACTGGTTGGATGGTACCTAACAGAAAACTGTGAGCCTGCTGCTGCAATCAGTGCTTTAGATTAAGAGACTTAGATCTGCATATGTATGGAGGCACAAAGGTGAACAGAGAAACAATCAGAAAGGAAGGATACCATTTATAGTACTGTTAAGAACTGCTTGTTTCTGTAACCATTTTGTTGGGTTTGTCTAATGCTTGAATTTCCTTCCAACAGCAAATGCTACTTGGATTTTGTGTCATGCAAGAATCTAAAATTAAATGTGTGTACACATAAATACACACACATAAACAAATACATAGACACACATACATAGAAATATATATATACCTACATATATGCATACACACACATATACACAGAGCCCCAGCTAACCTGCTGCTTGCTTCCATTGCCTTGTGTCTCTAAGGCACAGAAAAGGCAAAGGCCTCAAACGCTACACAAGTCAACGCCTGCGGGAAGAAACCTGAAATCTTAACTCCTGACTGTAATAAATGGAAATCATACCACTCCCTCCAGTGCAGTAATATGGAAGGGAACAGAGACCTAATTTGAAGGAGCAGCGAAACTGGTGCCAAAGTAAATGCATCATCCTCAGGATTTATGATGAAGAAATACGTCTTAAAACTCTGGCCTTTCATTCTTCTGGAGCAAAGCAAACTCCAACATGCTCAAGGAATTACATACCTGTGAAACAACTCCTAAGGCTGTAATGACTATTACAAAAAGCTGTCTGTTTAATTTAGTATTATTTGTAATAACTTTACCTTCAAGTAGAAGATGATTTTTAATCAGATTTGTGTGCAGTCTGCAATGAAACACAGAAATCGCACCTCTTGTGATTTATTCTGGATTGAAAAAGAGGTGCCGTGCGTCTGGACCACAGT